AAAGAAGTACTTTTCTCCCTTTCTCACAATACAAGAACTCATGGGCACTCAATGAAATTGCTGAGCAATCAGGTTAGAACAGATAAAAGGAAGTACTTCTTCACCCAAAGAGTGATTAACACATGGAATTCACTGCCACAGGAGGTGGCAGCAGCTACAAGCATGGACAGCTTCAAGAGGGGATTAAATAAGCATATGGGGCAGAAGTCCATCAGTGGCTATTAGTCACAAGGTATAGATAGGAACTCTCAGGCTGGGGCAAGTGATGCTCTGTATTCTTGCTGCTTGGGGGGGGGGCAACAGTGGGAGGGTTTCTAATGTCCTGGCCCCACTGCTGGACCTCCTGATGGCACCTGGTATCTTTGACCACTGTGTGACAGTGTTGGACTAGATGGGCCATTGGCCTGATCCAACATTGGCTTCTCTTATGTTCTTATGTACAAGAAAGTTCCATGTGCCCCCAATTTCACTGACATGGTAAACAAACACACATTTCACTTACCATTTCTAATCACCCTTTTTCCTCATTTGCTCCTCAAAGAAATCATTGCATGCGACAGTTAGTGCAGCAACCAGAACCACAAATTCATTAAAATCCACTTCATTATCTTTATTGCTATCAAGATCCTTCATAATCTTATCAACCAGCTGGGGATCCTTTTGACACTACAAAGACAAAAAAAATAGACGTTAAAATATAGTAACATACAACTTGATCCTGGTTACTGGGTCTTTTGAGACACTGGATTACTTTAGAGAGTTCTCTTTCTTTCCTCATGGGCATGGACTGATACTATTTACAGCACTTAAGAGAATCTCTACAGATATTACATGACATTTACTATTTCTACAACATAGCCTGCATTCTGTATTTGCCTCAAGAAAAAGATGTCAGATTTATATGACAAAGTTTATTTCTAACATTTTTAGCAATATAATTAATTAATTAAGAAGGTAAGAGTGGAACTACAGCTTATATGTAGTTCCATTATTCTCTTTATTATGGTGGTCTGTTTCTACTTTTTATGAAATAAAATGCAGCCAACAAGCATTCAATTTGAATTAGTAAGGTATTCCTAAATAATAACCAAAACCCATTGAAAGGTGCTTCTTAAACATTTGAGTTTGCACTGTTCTTTTTCCCCCTAAAAAGGATTCCCTCACTCCAAGATGTTTCCTCTTGCGGGGGGTGGGGGGGAGATGGGAAGCAATTTTCAATGTTAATGACAAGACATTTTGGAGTACATTAATTCATAGGGTCACCATAAATTGGAGGTGACTTGACAGGACTTAATACACACATACACACAATTTTCAACACTCTCCACAACTCCCCCAAACTGGTAAATTTAATCTGAATAAAATCGATATTTTTAGCTCAATCCTCAATGCTTGGAAGTGAATCTTGCTTTCACTCAGAAGATTGGACATCCACAGAGACATATTAATAAGATGGAGCTCAGGACAAAGAAAACTTAATCTAAGAAAATTAATTACATTTTATTTCTTTTTCCTTTTACACAGCTGCCAATTTTTAAGACTAGAGGTTTTCTTAGGATTAATAGACTGCAGGATGCCAGTTCTATATCAGATCTTGTTTTTTAAAAAAATACAAGAATTTCAGTAGAGTGTAATTTAAGAGCAAAATAGAGGAGCACAAATCACATTGGCACTGATAATGTGTCTCCGAGTGAGAGCGCTTCTCAGCAGTCTTTCTGCTCAGTACAGATAGGAAGGCTATATTTAGCATCTGCAGGATTTCCAATCAACCTGTGAATATACAATACTATGGAGCTTCCGGCCTGAAGAAGTATTTCAAGGATAAGAACAGTTTCAGATCTTGGACCAAAGTTAATCAGCATAGCTCGCCCACTTCCCATAGTAATAGTTCAAACTGTCAATTCGCTTCCTTCTGAACCACTTTATTAACATGGGTGGGAAAGATGCCATGAGAAAGCTGAGTGGGACAGGAGGGGAAGATAATAGATTGTGTCTGGGGGACATGTAACCTTTCACTTTGACAAGAGTGCCCCCAGATACCTTTTCAGCCTAGGAAGTGCAGAGCCCTACTTTGCCCTGCTTCAGGGATATGTCAGTCCTTAGGAGACAACAGCTGGTGTTATTCCAGCCCCACCCTCCTCTCAGACATGTTTAGATGCCTAGTAACCAACACACCTTCTACACGGAAAGAAGCAAGAACTGCCATGCCTTACAGCTACAGGTATGGCTGCAACTAAGGAAAGAGGGGAACAAAAATACTGGAGTAAGGGGCAGGGAACGAAAGAGTCCAAAGAGACCAAGAGGGCGAATAAGTCAAGGAAAAGAAGAAAGCTAGGGCTGGCTCTTGCCCACAGCTAAGACTGCAGGGTCCCTCCTAGCCACCAGCAGGGGATTGGGGGGGGGGTAGGGATGCCACATCCAGGTTAGGGATTGAGACTGGGGGGGACAGGGAGAGTACAATACCATAGAGCCCACCTTCCAAAGCACCCGTTTTCTCCAGGGGAACTGATCTCTGCAGTCTGGAGATAAACTGTAATTCTGGGGGATCCTGAGGTCCCACCTGGAGGGTGGCATCCCCAGCTACGACCCATGTTTAAGGTTAAAGTTTTATACTTGCATCACCACCATTTGGTGGGCATCTCTCTAATACATGTACATATAATTAAGGCAATTACTCTCTTCTAAAAACCTTTGTGTCACCTGAGTCATAGACCAAATTTGACATTGATGGCTAGACCCGTAACAGATTAATCAGTAGTGACATACTGATTCATCTTTTTTTTTTTAATTGTAGCTGACAGTACTAAATTTTCTTTCGGAATAGTTTTGTCATACCATTAATGAAAATGGGCTTTCTTTCCGAAATTAACAGCTATTGAAGTAGTTGCCTACACAGGTGGTAACCGGTTGTGTTGGTTACCTTACAACCTGTTTATACTTAGCTGGGTCTGGGGCAGTCTGGGGATTGCACCCTGCAGCTACATTGCTACCACAGCACAACTCTCTTCTTTCCCCACTTTACCAAAATGAAGGCAATAATTTGCAGTTTTGTTTATTTCTATAATCTGGAGCCTTTAGACATGGAGGTCCTACTTAACCACTGGTGATGACTCCTAAACAGAATCTATATTCACAGGACAGTATACCTAGCAAGTATTACAACATGAGAACAAACAACTGCGGATGGCCATCATCTTCATATTTTGCTTGTGAGGTCCCAAAAGCATCTCATTAGCCACTTTTGGAAATAGAATGCTGGACTCTGTGGAAGTGGATCTGCTTCGGCACAGCATATTAAAGTGAATAGTAGCGCAGAGTATGGAGAAAGCCTTCCTGGGACAAGCAACAGCAAAGCCACCGGTCTTCTGGTTACATAGTTTCCCATGTAGAGCCAGTGACCAGGACCAGTGGCCCATAAGTGCACGTTTCATTAAAGTGGGATTTGAACCCAAGACTCCCCCCATCCATGTCAAATCCCATTTTTTAAAATCTGCTGCACAGCCCCAGGCTAACAACAAAACAGTCCAAGAGCCCTAAACATTCAGTCACCAGAACTCAGTCCCATGGGTGTGGCAAAATATAGAAAGTATTTGTGTACACAGTACAGTGGCTGTTGCAGAAAAGACTTGGTTGTACATCTGACATATAAAACCTGTTTCATGGATCCTCCAGTAGTTATTTCTCCCTTCCTCAGTTCACCTCCCTATTTAAGCATTAAGCAAAGGAGATTTAACAGACCCATCTTACCGAAAGGAAGTCAGTAAGTTCACTGGTGAGGAGCTGTTTGAGTTCTCCTTTATTGAGTTTATATTTATCCCCTTCCTTTGCTGAATAGTGGTGAAAGATCTTGATTAAGGTGTCCATCGCATTCTCCAGCTGCGTCGGCATACTGTAACGGGATAAGGACCAAAGACTGGTGGGAACCATGCAGGAACTGTCTAAAATACAATCATTTCCTATGCACAAAGAGATACATGCAAAAATCCAGAAAAGCAATACATGATAGCATTTAGCTCTGTATGGTGCTGAATAGTGCCATCTGAACAAATGCCCAGATTGTTGTTTACAAGGCTAAATTAGGAGAGAACTTTTAGTGATTTAATCTGAACAGAACACAATGCACTGGGCTCATTAGGTGCTGGGAAACAGTGCAACTTTACTTGGTTGGTTAAGGAAAGACGATCCATTTCCTCTCATGCAAAGAGATAAATGCAACAGCTCAGAAAAGCAACAGAGGAGGATTAGCAGTATACTATACAGCAAGGTTGTTCCAATGAAACATTTAAGCATTATTCCCTACCTGTTCCAGCTAAAGCAGATCGAAAGCCCAAGTATTTTCTCCAGGTACAGACTGTATTCAACTTTATCCTGAGGGTTCCACCCGATTCAACTGATTTCCCTTGAGTTTTTAGAGGGAAATCACCAATGATAAAACGCCCCGAAGCCTGGCTTTCACTTTATTTGTGACTGCTTGTTACAAATCAACAGGTATGAACATCTGGCCCCAGGTGGCCTTCCTGGGGCTGGCTGCCTTCCCCGAGCATTCAGTAAGGAGATGAAAGTTACCAGTTCATTAAAACACTGAAGACGGAAGTGGCAATTAGTTGCTAGGAAGCCAACAAGTGGGAAAATAACTACAAATGTAGAACTGAAGAAGAAGACGCCACCTTCTCTGGCTTTTGGCAGTCTAGAAACACACTCCTAGTAGGGAAAACCCAAAAGTTTCAGCTTGAGTTTAGTTTAATGGGAAGACAGCTACTTGTGTCATCCTTCAGAAGCGTTAGTAGATCATCAAGGGGTTTCCAAGAGATGTTTTGATGGCATGCAGGAGCTCAATGGAGAGGATGGTTTAGCCTGGACAAGAGACAAGTGAGAGGTGATATGATAACCATCTTCAAGGACTTGAAGGGCTGTCAAATAGAGGATGGTGCAGAAGAAGAAGAAGAGATTGGATTTATACCCCACCCTTCACTCAGAGTCTCAGAGCGGCTTACAAACTCCTTTCCCTTCCCCTCCCCACAACAGACACCCTGTGAGGTAGGTGGGGCTGAGTGACACAAACTGCTCTTTCAGGAACAGCTATGCCAGAGCTTGTGACTGACCCAAGGTCACATCAGCAGGTGCAAATGGAGGAGTGGGGAATCAAACCCGGTTCTCCCAGATTAGAGTCCGCACACTTAACCACTACACCAAACTGGCTACACCAAACATGGCTAGATGGCCATGTGACAGCAATGCTGATTCTGTGAATTTAGGCAGATCATGAGAGGGAGGGCAGGAAGGGTTGCATCAGTGCTTCATTCTTGTGGTCCTTTCTTACACGCCCAGGGAAATGCTGATTGCCATGTTGGGGTCAGGGATCCTGGAGGATTGGGGGGGGGGGGTTGTGTGTCATCTTCTGGGCATGGAGCAAGGGTCACTGGGGGTGTAGGGTGAGGTATTTGTGAATTTCCTGTATTGTGCAGGGGGTTGGAATAGATGACTCTGGAGGTCCCTTCCAACTCTGTGACTCTATGATTCTATGAATGGCCAGCTAGTCACATAAATAAAAGGCAGGAAAATTCACACAGAAAATCGTGTTGTAAATACAGCCTATTCCCCTTTCTCCAGACACGCTGCTTCTCTTTTAATGTTTTGCTAGGAAGTAAAATAGTGGGATTCTCTACTAAATCCCTAAAGTGGTATTCCCTGCTATTGGGCTCCTGGGAATATAATTCAGAAGACCTGAAGTGGGCCTCAACAAGGAGGTACAGGAGTACCAGAGAGGAGTAAGATCTGCCTTAATTTGGCTGCTTCCAGGAGTGCATGTTGCCCATGGTAGGAAAGGGTGTTTGCTGGAAAAGTGATGACACATTGATAGACATAGCATTATCCTTGATTCATATCCTGTTTATCACAGAAACAACCATAACTGAAGGTCCAGGAGACAAGAGGGAAGTAATCAGGGGCGGATTAAGGCTCACTGGTGCCCTAAGCACTGACCAATCTTGGTGCCCCCCTCCTTTCCACACTGACCCAGTCCATTTTAGTTGTTGACCTGTCTGACCAAATATACAATGCAGGTTGCAGCAATATAAAAATTTATTCATATGATAACACAATATACTGTACAAACTAAGCTTTTCACCCTTTCCCCAACTTTGTGGTGCCCCCTTTGGCCCTGGTGCCCTAAACACGTGCTTAGTCTGCTTAATGGTTAATCTGCCCCTGGAAGTAATATTTAATTAGCAGCAGCAGTTCAACTTCTGAAAAATTTCCCCCTATAATTCCCCCCCCCGCTGGATCCTCCTGATGTATTTGAATTATATTAGGCAATCTCATTAGAATCCTGCACAGCTATTTCATTAACAAACACACTTATAGCAAGAAAAGCCATAATCCAGTGATAAAACTGTGATACTTAAGAATGTAAGGGATGAGCACAGTAACTGGAAATAATTTTGTTTGGAGTGTTGCTCCCCCTTGTGTTTATGAAGAAAAATTATATCTAACCAGGATGTACCACTCTCAAGGCACCTAATAAGGATTAAAAATCAAGTTAAAAAAAAACAAAATGAATTAAAACTCGACAAAAACTAAACAATTACAGTCAGTTAATTTAAACCAAATGTTTTTATTTAAGTCTGCCTTCCTCCCAGGTAACTGGGACCCATGGCAGGTGATGACAATAAAAAGAACAAAAATGTAAATCTAAAAATAAGAATCAAAGGAAACAGAAGGAAAAAACCTTGATAAAGCCACAGCAGCAGAGATCACTGTCAAGCCATTCACAAAAGCAGTCATCTAGAGGCGCTGCAGGCTGTTCTAAGGACTTTTATTTATAAGCCCGCTGAACTGCATAAGGGATATAGCTCTTCTGATTTCCTTTAGGAAGCAATTCCAAAGGGTTGTCAACTTTGAGGTATGAAATTTCTGGGAATTTGGGGTTGGAGCCTGAGGAGGGGAGAGACCTCAGTGGTGATGTGATGCAGGCCCATAGCTACAGTGCGGTCTCTTGGGCTACAGTGCGGTCTCTTGACTTACTGCCAAGGCCCCCTGACTTCCCATCCAGCACTGGCCCCCCAACTTCCAGTTTTTACATTTTATTTATGGAGCTTGCTTGGGGGAGGGTGCGGGGTGTGTGTGCTGGGTGCCCTCCAACTTATTTAAAGGCCCCCCAAATTCAGTAATCCTGGCTACGGGCCTGATGTGATGCCATAGAGTCCAACCTCAGAAGCTGCCATTTTCTCCAGAGAAACTCCTCTCTGGAGTCTGGAGATTCCTACAGAGCTCAGCCCACTACCTGGAGGCTAGAAACTCCATGGGACCAACCACCCAAAATGCCTGCACATGGCCAGCAGCAGAATATACTCTTGCAGGGGATGGAATGACCAGAAGGCATTGGTGTGCTGAATGAAGCTGCCACCTGGGCTCCCACTAGGAGCAGTGGCCCTTCAGGTATGTGGGCTCACAGTTGTGAAGGGCTTTAAAGGTCAGCATTAGCACCTTGAATTGGGCTGGGAGACCAACAGGCAGCTAAACCACCATTGCAAAACTGGTGTGATACAATTCCTGCACCCCACCTGACAATAAATGTGTGGCTGCACTTTGCACTGTTTATGTTTCCCAAATAGTCTTCGAGAGCAGTCCCATGTAGTGCACATTACACTAGCCAGCCTTGAAGTTACTGTTGCATGGAGCAGTGTAGCCAGACCAGCAGTCTCCAAACAAGGGGGACGCTACAAATATTTTAAAAATTAATTTCTGGCCCCTGTAGACTCCTGCTTCTCAAATAATAGAGCTAGATCCAGCAGGACTCCCAAGCTCTTCATGGTGGTTGTCAAAGAAAGCTGGACTCCATCTAACATGGAGAGTGACAACAACTAAAGCAGATGACTTACTAAGCAGTATCACCTCCATCTTGTCAGGATTCACTTTCAGTTTATTTTCTCTTAGCTATTTGACCGTAGCTGTTAGACACTGGTCCAGGCAGAGACAGCAGCACCATGTGGTTTTATGATATAAAAAGGGTCATACATATGCTGATGACAACCCATACCCAGATTCCATAGGAGTTCGTTTAGGAGTCTTGTATCCACATAAAATAGCACCAGAGAACCCAGTGGGACTCTGTACAGCAAATCTCACGTAGCTGATTCCTTACCTCCTGCCGGCACCTTCTGCAACCAACCAATAAAGAAAAAAAGGCTAAAACCATGCCAGAGCTACATCTCCAAGTACTGTGCCTGATCTCAGACATTCCAATAGGAGCAAGTCACTGGCTGCAGCAAAAGTGTGCAACGGTCCAGGGAGGAATTAGCATCAGTGAGAAGGCAGGGGAAAAAGAAACAAATAATTGAACCACAAATGAAAACCAATAGGCAGGGCTATTTTTGGCCAGGAACGCACAGGAACGGAGTTCCGGCTGGCTTTAGAGCTGGCCACACCCACTACAGCCAAAACCTCTGCGTGTGCGTGGCTACAGGGGGAAGGCCTGGAGAGCGACCCTCTGGTGACTCTGAGTCAGGGGGGCGGGGCCCCCTGGAAGGATTGGGCCTGTACAAGGGCCGGCTTGCCTGGGTTCTCTCAGCCATGGGGTGCCCAGGCAAGCCAAGGGAATGAAGTTTAAACTGCCTCCCTCCCCTTCAAGGGGGGGGCTTGCCCGGGCTCCCCATAGCCAAGAGTGCCTGGGCAAGCCAAGCGAAGGCATGGGGGTGTGATCTAATATGCTAATAAGCTGCACTGTTGGGTGTGGCCTAATATGCTAATGAGTTTCTGCTGTTGGGTGTGGCCTATTATGCTAAGGAGTTCCTGCTGGGCTTTTTCTACAAAAAACCCCCTGCCAATAGGAATAAGGAGCAGTAACTATAAGTACAGACAATTTGCAATAAAAACTTTGTATCACATTTAAAATTGTTCGTTTAAACTGCTCGGGCTTTCTTCCTGGAGGCAAACAATCAAAAATGGAAATCGAACTAAATGGGCAACTAGGCCCAGGACAGCAAAATCCACAAGAAATAAGAAATCACATTAAAATAGCATTTTGCCAGCTTCATGCACCACCCTTCCCCTGCGAGGCTTGTATGCACTCTCACACATAAATATATTCTGCTTCCCAGCAAGTGACTTGGGACATACTGGAAGCTCCTAAACAGCCTGCCAAACCAAAGTGCCCCCTGGTCCTAATGCTCCATGTGCGCACTCCTCTCCCACTTGGGCAGAGGGAAGTGTGAAACAAACTTGTCTCATCAGCTTTGCATCCCTGATACCGAGCAATAGGATTAGGGTCTGTAACCCTTTACAAATACAGAGCCAAATCACGTCAAAATTCAGAGCAACGACTGAGAAAAGAAAGTAAAAGAAAGCCCATTTGTGTAACTAAATATATTGATGATAAT